AAATTTCTGTATTAATTAAATTTCATGTTAATGGACAACATATGATAACTTAATGTGTTTAACGTAATTACGAAAATTGAGAATAATTAAATTTGTCGTCTTGATAAAATTCTTTATGAGAGGAATGTAAATAAAATTGCTTTTTCTATGCACATTTCTTTTCTTTCGCTTTAGAGCTAGGGCACAGTGACACTCAAGTTTATATATACCTAGTACCTTCCTTCTTCCGCCACAAGAGAACAAGTTTCATTATTGCTATTAAAAGTGGTAAACTATATTGCAGATTATCGATCATTGACGTAATATTGCCCCATATTCTGATGAGAGAATGAAATGTTGGAATGACGCAACTCCAAATAATTATATTTAATATAATAATCACGCGTATATTTATCATCAATTTGCTTCGTGGAGTTTTGTAAGGTTCCGGCCAAATTCCAAGTAAGCTCAGACAAGATCGATTTAATGTAATAACCCAATCGTAATCTGTTTTCAAATAAACGTTAAACATAAGATTAATAAAGGTTCTTTTTAAATAACGTATATCAGTTAATATTCTGCTAAGATTAAAATATATCATTTTTTTCTATTTACATCATATTACTCGTCTTTTTATCTTCTATATAACATTTATAATATATTTACTTGAAACTATTTTCGCATATTGTTTTATTTTTTACTTTTTGCATGTAACTCTTGTATGAGCAGTTAGTAGAAAACATATTAAAATTGCTAATTATTTATAAAATATTTCACTATGTTAGGATCATTATATCACTTGAGATATTAAGACTATAGCAAAAGAATATAAGCACCTTCATGTCCTGAAAGCGTCGAGGTAACCATATCAGCAGTTACGGCGGAATTAACTTCCTCTTTTATCATATCTACAATGTGATCATACCCTCAGCAACTTACAATACGAACTGTAACATATGCAGAAACTTCACACTATTCACAGGCTTACTTTCCTTACTCCCCTAAGTGAATACCGTAGTCGTTAATAATGCACGTGTTCGTAACAAGAAAGCGCGTGACGCTTGTAACTACTTGTTTAGCCTGGGGAAACTGAATTATAGGGGTATTTATTTCCCCTCTGTGAGCTAAAAACCTGCAACGTGTCAGCAACATTGGTAAAGGGCCGCATATAAATTCAGATACTCATTCGACATACTTCACAAACTGCAAAATTTTTTTTGACATAGAAAATTTGAGACTATTTAGAGTAGTTGTTGTACATCAAGCAAAGTTGTTGCACATGTTTATGCTGCACGTTGTTAAAAATTCTCAAAATATAGTTTTAGGTAATTAATTTATCTTCATAAAAATAATATAGCATATATTTAAAACAATTATAGATTTATAAATATCTATTAAATATTTGATAAGTACACTCTGAATTTTAGCATCTTCTAAATTTATTCATTTTTTTGGCAATTGAAATCTTTTGACTAAGGTAAAATTTTTCTTTTGTTACATTAAAAATAAGTTAACAATTTCTAAAACCGACCCTGTACAGTAGTTATCGATTAACGTTTTGCTGAAGGTGCACGATATGTGAAAGTTCTCTTCTGCGTTAGAGTTTGAAATTTCAAAACTTTCAGTTCACAGTCTGGCAAAGTTGTAAAATTCTATACAATTCTGTATTTCAAGGATCAAAATACAGAAAAGTATAGTCAGATATGTGCTCGCAACAAGTATCTTATCACTAGAGAAATGCGATTTACAATATTCGAAAGGCTTTACGTCTTGAGATAATATGTTATATAATGATGCATATTATTGTTCTAAACACTCGCCAGATAGATAAAAAAAAATATCTGAGATGTTTGCTTTTATTCTGTGATAATGTATCTACATGTATTTATATATATACATATATACACACACATATGGATATAGTAAACAGAAAAATTATTTGAATTCATTTTTTGAATTATTAGATATTAAAATATTTATTCACATATTGTAATTGTTGCTTGAAAGTTTATTTGGAACATATAAAATAGGTTGAACAAGCAAATCATTACCACATATCGTAAATGATACATCTTATGTTCTCTTCAGAAAAACATAATCTGTATATAATATTTAGAATATAACGGGCAGTCATAGTTTTGTTAATAACATGAAAAATTAACTTTCTATGCAAATTAATTTTTGTCAAGAATATAATTTTGTGATTATATGTGTTACAAATTATTATTGTACAACCTGCTGATATAATTAGCTGATTTGTTTTATATTATAATTATATATTTTATTATTCTTTAATATTTTGCCTGAATATTATCTATTATCTGTAAATCTATAAATTATTTAAAGCAAAAATTGAATAGAGCGTTAATAAATGTTTATGATTTTATTATGTCGTTGAGGTATTCGATATTTTGGTTTATACTGGTATGAACATCCGGAACTGGAGTTTCGTCGCATGAAATACTGTAGGTTGCTAAACCGACAAGTTTGCCTTCATAAATCAGAGGACTGCCGCTATCACCCTAAATAATAATTATTAATACTGTCATTATTTAATTCTGATACATTTACCTGAATGTTTT